ACATTGCGATGCAGAGGGTTACACAGTGGTGACACGACAAACACCCTCCCATCCTCAGATGTCGATTTGAAGCCCATAGGGTTGTCCACACACCAGTAAGCCTGCTCCATATCTCCCCCTTCTAACCTACTTATCACGTGATCAATCAGCCTCCAAAGAGCATTAAACTTCGCTCCTCCATATTCCACGAAAACACACAAGTCGTAGGCATTCAAATTGTGCCGTATCGACAAAGAGTCTCCCCACCCAACAGGAACAGCTGCCTCTAGATCCTCTACCATCCTTCTCACCTTACCACAGGTTCTTGAGAAACTAATATTTTCTATCCACTGCGCATCACAGCTCGACGCCTCTGCTACAGTCATTGACAGTGACAGCCAACAACAACTGAGCACACTGAATCTCATCGAGGGAATAAAATCACTAAGTGACGAGAAGTGAACAATCTACTGCAGACAACCTTCCCATATACCATGTCATTCCCTCCCTCCTCCAAAACGGCGGTCCCCGCTACGCCAACCACTACAACCGTCCATACAGCAATTTCCCTACTCACTGCGTGCCGCTAAATAACATCACTCTCAACCCCCTCGTTAATCACGCCACCAATTTGATCCTATTGAGGCAAACACAATACGAAGGTAACACTGTGAATTACCACCGACTAGACACACCACGAGAAATCACCCCAGCAACAAGGCTGCGTGGGGACGGATGCAACAGGAGTCACCAGCCGAGGCTAGTAGCAACCTCCTCATAATACTGCTTGGCTGAAGCGTCATCGACTGTTGATGGCATGCGGTGTGAGGACTGAGGGAAAGTCATCGACACGACTCAAAATAGAGAACAACGGCAGATCCTCACCTTCATAAATTTAGCGACCTTGGGTACAGCTAGCAAAGCCTTCCTCCAGGCGGCTACCTTTGGCGCTGCACCCAACACCTTCTCCTCTCCCAGGACCTCAATAGCCTCCTCAACCACGCGCAACGCACACGAGTCAGCGACAGTGGGCGTGTTGGTACCTGAATGTAGGGCTATAAAATCAACAACGACAACAACAACGACAACAACAACAACAACAACAACAACAACAATAACAATACAGCATATACAACATATACAACTACAACAATAACAATAACAATAACAATAACAATAACAATACAACATATACAACATATACAACATATACAACAACAACAACATATACAGCAACAACAGCAAGAAAGTACCCACCCGCAATGAACTTGCCGTCCTCCATCTGAGTCTCCCAAGCCTCTATCCACCTCAGACATTTCACGCCCTTCGTCGACGCGGCCTCCTCAAAACTCTGCCCGAACTTAAACCTTATCGCAACGTCAAGCAGCTGAAACAATACAACTACAACAGTGAGGAACAACCACCACTTGTTGCTTACCCCCGAGCCAAGGGCATCAGCCGAGGCCTCAATGATCTCATCGACTCTCTCCTCCTTCCCCTCCGCTCCACCATACAGATCGAATTTACGAGCGATGTAACGGAGAATGGCACCGGTCTGCACCAGACGTTTCCCATCGGGGGTCTCCAACATCGGAACCTGACCGTACCTAAACAAGAGCAACT